CCTCTATCTCGTTTTATCTCTATCCCTCTCTCTCTCTCTCTGTCTGTTTCTGTGTGTGTGTTCCCATCTCTCCCTCTATCTCGTTTTATCTCTATTCCTCTCTCTCTCTCTCTCTCTCTGTTTCTGTGTGTGTGTTCCCATCTCTCCCTCTTTCTATTTCTTCTCTATCTCTCTCTCTGTTTCTTTCTTTTTCTGTCTTTCCCTATTTATCATTTTTTAAAAAACAAAACTCTCCACTTTGTCCCAGCTACTGGGGTCATGGTCCCATGAACGAGACAATCTTAAATTGGTTTCCTGGGTCTCTTTCTCCCAGCAGCCACCAGTCCAGTATGTACCTTCATCCTCACACAGCTGTCCATCTACCTTCTGTCTGTCTGTCTCTCTGAGGGTTTCAAGTTTCCCTCTCCTATCTAACAAGGGAGCCCCCTCAGAGGCTCAAACTGTTAAGCACTAGACCATAAGGGGGCTTCTAAAAGATCACAGAAATGCCAGTAAGACATCATGGAATTCTTTCAATGAATGTTTGAAGCCCCCTTGTACGAACTAAAAGGGGGCCAGCTTTGACTCTACCCAGAGGCACTTTGGGAAAAACATCTGGCCGTTGGGTTACAAAACACCATCCACTGAAAACTCCGTGGGGCACATTTCTGCTCGGACACACGCTGGGTGGTCGGCACTTGGGGTCTCTTCCACAGTAACTAGTGATGGCAAAATACACATAACGTAAAATCGACCCATTTCTAGTCTTTTTAAAGTGAATTATTCCATCGCACTTAGCATATTTACAACATTGAGAAAAAACCACCTCTGCTAGTCTCGGCACATTCTCAACATCCCCAAAGGAAAACCTCACGCCAGTTACAATTCTGTCTCCATCAGCCTCACGCAACCCCGGGTACCCACTAACACACTTTGTGTCTTTGTGTACTTGCCTAATCTACGCATTTCATATAAGCAGAATCCTACACTAGCCTGAGTTTTTCATTCAGTATTTTGGACGTGGCCAGTCCCTGGAGATGGACAGCATGGTTAGTAAAGGGGAGGGTCAGTGAAAAAGAGGAAAAGCCCGTCCCCTCCCAGTGAGATGACCTGACATAGTTGGCAGTAGCCACTAGGGGCAGACATGGAAACATTTGTGATGTTGGTGCTGGACTGGACAGTGTTTTAGTGTGCTGTACATAAGGTTGCTGTGAGTCAGAACCAACCCACCAACAAGTCAATATCCTTTAACCTAGAAGAGGAATTTGAGTGGCTACCTTTACTAGGAGTCCTGGTGTGGCATTGTGGGTTAATGCACTGGACTGCAAAGTTGTTTGAACCACAACGCCAGCGGTTCAAGCTCACCAGTCGACGGCACTAAACAACAACACCACCTTTAATAGGTAAGGTGCTCTGGTAGCGTGGTGGTTACAAATCCGGCTTCCAATCTCAAGTTCAGCAGTTCAAAACTACCCGAAGTTCCGCTGGAGAAAGATGAGGTTTTCTGCTCCCGTAAAGATTTATAGACTTGGAAACCATATGCTATGCATGAGTTAGAACCAACTCCACCACATACCACCACCACCAAAGATTTACAGCCTCGGAAACCCTATACAGGGTTGCTATGAGTCAGAACCGACTCCACAGCACATAGCCACCACCACCTCTGATTAGGAAGTCCTGGTGTGGCACTGTACCACTAACCACAAAGTTGGCGGTTCAAAGCCCCCAACCGCTCCTTGGAAACCCTGTACACGGTTGCTATGATTCAGAACCGATTCGACTCGACGGCACTTAACAACAATCTCTAATAGAGACTGGAGGAAGATAAGGATTCCTGCTCCCATAAAGATGTACATCTCAGAGTGTCGTTATGAGTCAGAACTGACTCCACGGCACAGAACCACCATCACCACCATCACCACCTTTGACAGAGGGAACATTGAGGAGCGATAAGCTGAGGAGTCCCTGGGTTGTGCATACAGTTCAGCTGATGCTCGAAAGGTGGGAGGTTCAAGTCCACATTCATGTACCTTGGAAGAAAGTCCTGGCAAACTATTTACGAAAAATCAGGCACCGAAAACTCTGTGGAGCACAGCTCTTCTGTGGCACAAGTAGGGGCACCCTGAGTCAAAGGTGATCCAAAGGCAACTGGCTTTACTGAATGGGTGCGCACAGGTGTCTGTTTGTCCTCTACCTCCTCCGTCTTCGCTCTGCACGTTTCTTCCTCTGTGTCTCTCTTATCTCTCTCTGTCCTCTCTCTCTTTCTCTGTATCTCTCTCTTTCCCTCTTGCTTTCTGTCTCTGTTTTTCTCTATTTCTCTGTTTCTCTCTTTTATGTGTATCTCTGAGTTATGGTGTTGGAGGAGAATATTGAAAGTGCCATGGGGCTGCCAACAGAACCAACAGATCTGTGTTGGGAAAAGTGCAGCCAGAGTGCTTCTTGGAGGCCAGGATGGCCAAAATTCGTCTCTGATACTTCAGACATATTGTCAGGAGGGACCAGTCGCTGGAGAAGGATATCATGTTTGGTAAGGTGGAGGGTCAGAGAAAAAGAGGAAGATCCCCAGCGAGATGGATTGGCCAAGTGGCAGCATCAGTGGGTTCAAGTGTGGCAGCGATAGGAGGTTGGCTCAGGATCGGGCAGTGTTTAGTTCTGCTGTGCATAAGGTCGCTATGAGTCGGTACCAACTCGATGGCACCTATCAACAACAACTGTCTTTCTCTGTCTCTGTTTGTCCATGTGTCTCTGTCTCTCTTATCTCTTTTATTTCCTATATATTCCTCTGTCTCTCTCTCCCCTCTGTGCCGCTGTTGTCTCTCTGTCTCTCTCTGTCTCTGTGTCTCTGGTCTATGTCTCCTCTGCCTATCTCTGTCTCTGTCTCTCACCCTTTTAAAACAAATCCCTCTGACTTATCCCAGGTGCTGGGGTTCAGGTGAGGCACTGGGGTTGAGGTACAGTATTAGGGTTCAGGTGAGGCACTGGGGTTGAGGTACAGTATTAGGGTTCAGGTGAGGCACTGGGGTTGAGGTACAGTATTAGGGTTCAGGTGAGGCACTGGGTCACAGGTGCAGTATTAGGATTCAGGTACAGTATTAGGGTTCAGGTGAGGCACTGGGTCACAGGTGCAATACTAGGATTCAGGTTCAGTATTAGAGTCTAAGTGCGGCACTGGCTGATGTCTTGCACAACACAGGTGGCCCCTGGCTCGTTTCCCGGCAGGCTGGCTCTGCATAGAAAGGTGTGCTTATTGGGGGCTCCCCGAAGCCGCTTGTGACCGTTTCCCGGTCCCCAGACAGCTTGCGTGTTCTGCTCAGATCATTCGGCATGAACGTGGGGGTACCGCCCGCGCACTGAAAACCTCAATGTGAAAACAAGAAGCGGGCTCCTCCCCTTCTGCAGGGCCCTTCCTGTGCCTGGACACACCTGCGTTGGTTGTGGCCCCCGCTGAGAAAGAGATGCTGAAACCCAATATAGAGACCGACCCAGTAGGTCCTGCAAGACCCGAGATCAAAGTCTCCCCAAGAGAACCAGACAGCAGTATGCAAATCAAGCTAGTAGATTTCGCAATGGAGGGAAACCAACATCTGAGGCTGATGGGGACGTAAGGGGCTTGTCGTTGATGTTAGACCTCTACCCAATGCATCAGCCAGATCCGTGCCTGTCCCACCAGCTGATCACTGCCCCATCGTCTCTCTGAAGTCTGCAGAACACAGTGTTTACAGACATCAAAGCGCCCCGAGAACCATAGATCTGTGAACACAGCAACTTGGACCCTGAAGGCTGGGGCGTGAGGGATGGAGGCTGCAGAAAGGAAGCCGGTACCCATCTCAGAAATGAACAGAAGGTCACAGAGATGACCAAGCCGTCTTCACATCCTCAGGTGTGGTTTTGTCATTTCTAGACTTCAGGCTTTCTGCCGAGTGTGTACGGTGGTATCTCGCGGTGATTTTAACCTGCTCTTCCCCAAGGACACACAAATGGAGTCCGGGTGGTGCTGCGGGTCAGGCGTTGGACTGCTAACTGCAAAGTCAGTCCTTCCAACCCCCCAGTTGCTCCGAGAGAGAAAGATGAAACTGTCTGTTCCCGTAAAGAAGAATTCGTCTCAGAGGTCCTAATAGGGTTGCTATGCGTCAGACTTGACTTGTTGGCAGATGGGTTTGGTTTGAGTTTTAATCTTTACAGTAGGTGATGGGGGTGAAGTGCTAGATTGTTAACTGAAAGGTCAGTGGTTCGAACCCACCAGTCACTCCCTGGGAGAGCAGCTCTCTCCCGTGTCCTGTAAGGTCACTGTGAGTCCAAATGGACTGGACAACAATGGATTTG